AGACTCCTGCAGTCAGATCTCTCCCATTCCTGCTGCAGAGCTAAGACTGATGGCATTTTTTTCCTATTGGCTGGTGATCCAATGAAGGGGGAAAGCCAAAGACAGAAGAATCAATCGATTCCCTTGGCTTATCTCATGCTGCTACTATCCATTCAGTCATTTCTAACTCTTGGCGATCGTCCACGTCTACAGATCTTGCACTACTTCTTTGAGTCGATCTATACTGGTGTCTGGTCTCAACTTTGACGGTTTCCAGCCACCGTGTTCTTTGGCAGCCTGGTTTACTTTTATCACTAACTCTTCCAAGCATAATTGCTTTCTCCAGTGAATGATGTGGCCAAAATAAGTAAGAGGCAGTTTTCTGAGTTTTGCCTTCCAGTGACATGTCTAGTGTTATGTGCTCCAGTATTCGCTTGTTAGTCACCTTTGCAGTCCAAGGAATATGTGCTACACATACAAAATGAAGAGAGCACAATTCAGCAGTTAAGTCAGAAAAGGCACAGTAATGGGAGGATAGAGATGGGGTAGGGAGGGAGGAGGCAGCAAACATTATGCATCTGCTGTCCTGCCCCTCTCAAGGATGGATGGACAGCAGTTCGACTCAGTTGCAAGCAAAAGCTTTTGTCTGTAACCATTGGTAGCAGAACAATATAAGTATTAACTGTACACTACATTAGAAAGTATACAGTTTCCTGTACAGCATATTACTGACTACAGTTTAATTGCAAGTTACCTTTCAACTATTACCCGTTAAAACGCTTAAGGTTGAATGTAACAATATACTTTTCATTGCTGAACTGTTTTTACTCCTGCTTTTTCTTTCTGTAAGTGAACACCTAGTAGCAATAGGATTGACAGGGGTGAATTCTCAGGAAAAGATGTGGCTGCTTTTAAGAGTTGCAAATGGTGCCACTCTTGTGCTTCTTCCAGGCCCTGAAGCACCACCTTAGGGGTCAAATCCAAAACGCGCAGCAAATCCAGCAGCCAGTGTTTTCAGAAGAAATGGTGTCATTTAACATAGCCAAGATCTTCTTAAATCCAGCTTTTTGAAAGGATGTCACTCCAGTACTAAACAGCATCCCAGTGTCCATCCAGAGTACAAAATAATTTTTTAAATAAATTGTGGCATTAGTATTTCAGGAGCCAAGGTGATCGAAGTGCAAGATACTATGACTTGATCGCCTCGACTCCTGAAATACAAATGCCACAATTTAAACATATGACAATTATTAGGGGGAAAATGAACATGCACATTTCAGGATTTTCAGTAACTGTGTTAAAATCTTGAACACTGCTGCTAAGAATTTGTGCACAAGGACGCCAGCCGCAATGCAATGATTTAACTGAGGGAGGCACAAAGGTTGAAATAATTTTCATATGTCCAAAGAAGGAATCATCAGGCCTTGGGATAGAATAGGATAACAGAGTTGGAAGGGACCTTGGAGGTCTTCTAGTCCAACTCCCTGCCTAGGCAGGAAACCCTACACGACTTCAGACAAATGGTTATCCAACATCTTTTTAAAACTTCCAGTGTTGGAGCATTCACAACTTCCGGAGGCAAGTTGTTCCACTGATTAATTGTTCTAACTGTAAGGAAATTTCTTAAGTTGGTTCTCTCCTTGATTTTTAATCTTTCAGTCAAATATGAGAATGATAGATATGTCAAGGGAGATTGTTGGTCAGCACAGTTGCCCCAAAGCTGCTTTTTCAAGAGGGAACTGGACTTTCTTTGTTTTTCCTTGAAGACATTTCACTTCTCATCCAAGAAGTCAGAACTGAAGAAACCTCTTGGATAAGAAGCGAAATGTCTTCAAGAAAAAACAAAGAAATTCCAGTTGCCTCTTGAAAAAGCAACTTTGGGAATGAGAATGAGAATGAAAGACATGTTATTATGGTGGGTTGGGGCTTTTAGATGACTGAACAGCATTCATAATTAAAGAAAAGGAAAAAAAACAGTATACTGTTTCAGCAAAAACTTGATTGTGACATGTAAATTCTTTGCTTCCAATTAATCCAGAATTCTGGTTACACCTGCAAGGTTCAGGTGAGGGTTTATGTATAAAGGGAAAAAGAATGTGGATATATGAATATATAAAAAAATGAATATAAGATGATGATGGCTATAAAAAAAATAAGGATCAATAGTGATACGTAATGCGTATGTACAGAATAAGAAAATGGCAAAGAATAGTAAAAAGTGCAAGGAATGGTTAAGGGAAGCAGAGAAAATGCAAAATAATTTTGATGAAAATTTTTAAAAAGCCTATTTTGTAAGTGGGTTAAAAAGCTTTAAAAGGAGTCTCAAGCAGAATAAATATATTAAAAATTATAAGGGCTGAATGGATGTAAATAACTGAAACTGATGTGGGAGAATACTGAAGGAGAATTTTAGACATTTCTATGGGAACGATCATGGACATTATTTTGTTGAAAAGTGGGATTAAAACAAAAGGTATAAACGTGACTGTCCAAGAGGCAAAAAAAAAAGTGATGAAAAGGGAGTAATTACATGCAGTGAGAATGCTGAAAAAAAAAAAAGTCAGGCTGCCAGAATAGACAAAAGTTAAGTGAATAAATGTTCAAGTCAGAATGTGACTGATATGAAGCGGCTTTGTGAGTTATTTAACATACGTGAGGACCATCTGTGCCTGACAATTGGAACAATGTTATTATTGTTCCATACGAGAGGCAGTAAAATTACAGGAAGAGATTAGTTCCTGCTTTATCAGAATTAGGATGAAAGGAAAGAGAAGTAACAATAAGAAAAATCTGGGAAATACCAAGCAGGAACACACACACCAGTTCCTTATTCTTCTATAGTTATGAATATGAGAACATTCTTTGTGCATTTGTTGATTTAGAGGAAGCAAACAACAAAGTGAATGAACTTGATTTATGGAATGGTTTTCATAAACTGAAGTTGAAAGTTGACTGCCAAATGGAGTAATATGATAGGAATAAAGGATTTGTGAAAAGAAACAGAAAGCTTAGCTAATAGTTCAGAATTGAGCAGAATTAAGAAGAATATAATACTATATATCCCTGTGATTGTTTAATGTTATGGATACATGGATAAAGATTGTGGTTGGGACAGCAGAGATGTTAGACGCACAAGTGTGAATGCAGGGAAGTTTTTATTGATGGGTGAGAAGAACCCATATGATTTATAGCGGATGTTAGATTGCATGACACGGTGAGGAGCAGGCTCTGATGAAAATTTAAAAAAACAGGATGGTAACTCACTGCAAACTATACATAACCAGTGAAAATTTGTAGACAAAATTTTTGTACCTTAGTGTAATGTTGAGTAAAGATGGAAGTAGGAATGGAGAAAGTTTGGGGACATATAAGTGATGGCAGAAAGGTATGTGTATATATCTAGTATGTGATCGGTTTCCAAGGAATGTTTATTGAAACAAACAATAATGTGTGTGCATAAGGGCACGTTGAAGGACAAAGAAGAAATAATAGGTCCGGGAATGAATGGATGCTGAATGAATACAGATCAAGATCAAAATAGAACTAGTATGAGAAATATATGTTGAGGTGATTTAAGCACAGAGAATGAGGATCAGATTTCAAACAAACATAGGGAAGAAAAATGTGTCAAGAAATTAGGGGGTAGTTGTTGAAAACCTCAGAAAGAAAGAGAAGTTCAAAGACCAAAATCCAGTATATAAATCGACATAGGGATGGAGTAAAGAAGGTGTGTAAGGATACAAAGATACTGAATAACAGAGCTGGAAGGGGACTTGGAGGTTTTCTAGTCCAGCCCCCTTGCTCAAGCAGGAGAGTTTACACCATTTCAGGTAAATGGCTGACCAATCTCTTTTTAAAAAACTTCCAGTGTTGGAGCACTCACAACTTCAAGAGGAATAGTGAATAATCAGAAGAATAGGAATAGATGTAAATTCGACTCAGATATGTATTTCCTTTTCTCTTATCTAATGCCTCAGTTTGTTAGGCTCACCACTTCTAACTCATTTTCTTTCTTTCTTTCTTTTTGCATTGAGAAAAGACATCAACTGCATCCAATTTTTCCATTCAACCTTTTTCCTTCGGCCGAAGGTCAGCTGAATGGCATTATTGAGAAAAAAACCAGCCTTGTTTAAATCCAGGGGATTTCCTGTAGAGAAAGACGCCACAGAAATATTTTTCTTCCAGGGATTTCTTGGGATCCGTTGTAATTGGAATAAGAATAACATTTCACAAGCACTCAAAGCTCTGTAAAACAGGGGTCTCCAACCATGGCCACTTTAAGCCTGGAGGACTTCAACTCCCAGCCAAAAAGCAGCTTTAAAAACAAATCATGGTAAGATCACAAGCCAGGGAAAAATTAGAGACAGAAATGCATATGTTGGTAAGAGTCCACGTCTAAGGTACGACGAGTCTTATGGAATGAGAAATGGGAAGAACATTATGTTTAACTTGTAGTTTTTTTTAAAAAAAAAGCAACAACAATAAAGATCAAACAAGAAGCATTCTCTTCTTCAATATTCTTCAGTTTTATCCATAACATAGCGCAGAGCCAATTTTTTTGGCAGAATGAGCCCTGTTGCAAAAATTCCTTCATATTAACACCCCACCCGCCTTCTGCTTTGAAACTTACAGACAACTGAGAAAAGAGTCTGTATCTGGACATTTTGCAAGGATTTCTGAACGTTGGGATTCATTTATCATGACCCAACACCCCCCTCCTCCCCATCTTATCTTTCAAATGCTTCAGATCAATTTTGGGGTGCTGGATAAGAGGAAATGCTGACTTAGTCTAAGAAGCTCTTTTGTTTTGATCCAACAAACCGCTTCTACTCAATCTGCTAACCATATACTGTCTACTGACAGCATACACGGTTCCTCAGCCATTTTCTACTAGAGATACTAGAGATGGAACGTTCACATCCAAGTAATAAAGGGGTTTGTTTGGTCTTCCAGAGGAAAAAAAAATAAGGAAAACTTAATGGAAAACAGAAAAATGTTTGTAG